CTCCCGGGCGGCCATGCCGACCTGCGCGTCGTAGGCCTCGGCCAGGCTCCCCGCGGCGGCGCTCTCGTCCACGAGGCGCTGCGCCTGGCGCGGGCAGGCCCTCCTCCTCCTCCTCCTCCTCCTCCTCCTCACTCCTCCCTCCTCGTCCTCCTCCTCCCTCCTCTCCTCCTCCTCCTCCTCCTCCTCCTCCTGGGTGGTTCTCCGGGAGAGGGGCCGTCCCGGGGGGGGGGGGGCTCGCGAAGCATGGCCGCCGCCCGCGGCGCGTGCGCGGACGAGGGGGGCGCCAGAGAGCGCGTGGAGACGACGCGAGGGTGCCGCGGCATCGGGGAGATGTCAGGGCCCAGGCCATGACATCCACCCCCATCCCCCTAAGCCATCGGTCGGAAGAGATAGGTAGAAGCATGACGCAGGAAAGCGCTGAAGGTAGATTGGGTGTCCACCCGCCCCCTGAAGAGGACGGAAAGGGTGAAGCCACTCGATCATTGTGAAGTAGGAAGGCGCTCAAAGTGGAATCTGAGAATCCAAAAACACATACTTTCAACGACCGATGGGTAATCATCCCCCTCCCCTTAACCAACCCCGACGACCTCTACCTTCCCCCCGCACGGGACAAGGCCCTCGCGTCGTGCGAAAGATGTGACGGGCAACATGCCGTCACTAGTTGGCTTCGGGTGGGGCCCCTTGCGGGGCCTCGGGAACCCATAAGGAACTCCACCGAAGGCCGTCGGGTCGTGGAAAAATGTGAAGGACAATACTTCGTCACCTGTTGGTTGGCTTCGGGTGGGGGCCCCTTGCGCGGCCTCGGGAGCCCATAAGGAGCTCCACCACAGGCCCCAGAAGGGTCCCTGCGGGACTTCGGGGGCGTGAAAAAACGACACAAGATGAAGAGCCAGTTCATAGGAAGGGCTGCGGACCTCTGGGGGTCCACGTCATGATCAAATCACGGCATCGGGGGTTTGGGCTCCGCCCCTCCTCCTCCTCCTCCTCCTCCTCCTCCTCCTCCTCCTCCTCCTCCTCCCCCTCATCCTCCTCCTCCTCCTCCTCCTCCTCCCTCCTCCTCCCTCCTCCTCCTCCCTCCTCCTCCTCCTCCTCCCCCTCCTCCTCTTCCTCCCCCTCCTCCTTCTGCCGCGGCCCTCCCTGGCCCTCTCCGCTTCCCCCTCTTCTGCTCGGCCCTGCCTTGCCCGTCTCCTCTGCCGCGTCCCCCCCCTCCTCCTCGCGCGCAGCTCGGAACGAGTTCGTAGAATACTACTGCTGCTGATGCTGCTGTAACAGCTGTGACCGGGCGGCACGAGCAAGCGAGGGAAGACAGACCAGGGGAGGAGCAGATCCTCGAGCACCGTCGTGTACGAAGATGGTTCTGGCGATACTCTGGGCTGCTGATTCCATCTGCTTCTCGGACATCCCTGCTGCTCGTGCCAGTCTCCGATCTGCATCAAATTCTACCCGTTGCGTTGGGACCCAGAACTCCTGAATGGCATGCCAGAGCGGCACACGCGAGGCATAGTGAGCGCAGGCGTCCGTGAATCCCTCGCAGCCAAGCTTACACATCAGACCTCCGTGTCACATTGTCCGTACTGTCGCCCACCGAGCCACCAACGTTCTGATCGCAGAGACCTGTCAGGATAAGAGCAGGCCAGCAGGCGCATCACGAAAGCCGAGCCATCCTTGGGCCACTGTCTTGCGGGACTGCTCTGGATTCGGCGGCCGCGGGACCCACTCGTCGAACAGTTTCACAGTGGTCAGACAAGGCACGCCCGAGGGTCCACGAGATCGTCCTGTGCACGGGCGCCGACAGCTCTCCGGCGACGCCTCGCCGACGGCAGGGCCAGCCGGCGGAGCAGGGCGGCGACGGCTCGGACGCCGCGCAGCGCCCTCCCTGCGCCACGGAACAGCTCCTGCGCCAAGCGGGGGCTTTTAGCCCACCGCAAGGGTAGCCCACCGCAAGGGGGGGCCGCGTACTGCAGACCCACGGCTTCCCTGGCTAGCTGGACCTCAGCGATCGCCTGGAGTCCGTGCCCGGCAAGTTTTCAGTTGGAGTCGGGTGCTGCCAGAAGGGCCCCCGGCCCAAGGTGCCCCCCCGCTTGTCGGCCCATTCGGGAGCCCCTGGGGCCCCCATGGGCCTCGTGAGGGGTGCCCTGGAGGCCGTTTGGGCTGCCCCGAGAATCCTGGGGGCACCTTTGGAGAGCAAACATCCCCCCCCCACAAGAACCACCCCGACAAGCGAGGCCGTTTGCTGAACGCCCCCTGTGAAGAAACCGAACGGGGCAAGGGGGCTGTTTCGTAGACGCCCAAGGCCGTTCAGCAGACGCCAAGTGTCCGGTCTGGGTGGCTTTTCCTCCCTTGAACTTTGGCCCAAGGGCACTTCTGGCAACACCCGGTGGGGACACAGCACTTGGCCGATCACACCAGAAGCGCGACCGCCTGCGCTCTCTCGGACTGGGGGGGCCGAGGAAGGGGGGAGGAAGGGGGGAGGGAGGAGGACGAGGAGTAGGAGTAGGAGGAGGAGGAGGAGGAGGAAGAGGAGGAGGAGGAGGAGGAGGAGGAGGAAGAGGATGGAGGATGGATGGGGGGAGGAGGGAGGAGGGAGGAGGGAGGAGGGAGGAGGAGGACTGGCGGGGGCCCGACCGCCGACCAAGATGTCGCAACGACGAGAGAGCTGCTCTGGCGGACTTTGAAGGGGCCCAGGGACAAGTAAATACAGGGCAGCTGTTAATACATGGCATTTAAACAAATGGGATTTTTTAATACATGATTAATGTATGAACTTATCGTTGTTTGTAATACTAAATCCCTGCATGTTTAATACATGATCCGCACGTGGAGCATGTATTAAAAACGGCACTGTACCGTCGCCACTGTCGAGGGCTGCTGGCGGGTCCAGCGGAGCGAGGCGCCGCGCAGACCTGAGGGAGACCTCGCCGTCCCTGAGGGGCGGCGATCTGCGAAACCGTGGCCACTGTCGAGGGCTGCTGGTGGGATCGCCACTTTGGAAGGGTGCTGGTGGGTCCAGAGTGAGGCGCTGCGCGGACCTGAGCGGGTCCTCGCCGTCCCTGGGGGGCCATGTCATGTTGTTGCTGCCCCGCCGACGTTTCAAACCCCTTGCCCACAGTCTCCTTTTGGACGTTGCGTCTTCCTTGGTGACTCAGGGGTTCACTTAGTTACTACTCATTGTTTTTCCCGTGATTGGGGACCTGCGAACCTTCCGAATGCCGCTCGCAAAAGTACATGCGTCCATGTCACGTCGCCGCCTTCTCGTCGAATCTCCCGAGCTACTCCTGTCCCGCATCGCGCAGGGACTGGGTACGTCGCCAGGGTAGTTTTGAATGCTCCTCCCGTAGGGGTAGGGAAACGAACAATTACATCTAAACATAAAAACTCCGAGGTCCGCACGGAGTTCTTGGATCCGCGCTGGAGCCCCCTAGCGGCGCCTCCGGCGCCGCCCCTGGCGCGCTCCGCGCGCCAGGGAGGGGGGTCCAGCGCCGATCCGAGAAATCCGCGCGGACCTCCGAGTTTTTATGTTTATGTGACTTTTTGTTCCCCTAGATGTGCCCGATCTAAGCCAAGTTGGCCAGCTCCTCGTATCGTAGTCCGAGCCTCCTCGGCCCCCCGCCCGCCCGAGGCACCCGCCGATGTGCCCCGGCCCCGACGGCAGCGCCCCCCCGATGCCGAGATTGGTTGATTTGACGAACGAGAACACACACAAACACACACACACCCATACCCATAGGGAGGTCGGAGGGATGAGGACTGGCTAAGGGGAGGTCGGAGGGATGAGGACTGGCTTTGAAAATGGGTGCGGGTTGTCGGACCCCCGGGGAGGCTTCCGTTCGAGCAGGGACCTCCATCCGACAACACGCACCCACAGTCCCGCCCGTCCCCCCTATGGGCATGGGTGTGTGATGTTCGTTTGCCATGATTGGGCACCTGATGGCGGCAGCTGTGGCTCTGCGACCGATACCAAGGATGTGTGGCAGAGGTCGCCTGTGCCGAGGGGTAAAGGGAGCGAGGGGGGGGAAAGGGGAGGAAACAAGAGAGTCGACTTCGACTAGGAACTGCCGGGGACCCAGTGCTGGAGCTTCGCGGTGGCCAACGCCACGCCCGCGTCCACCCCGATGCCGAGATCCAGGAGAAACGCCCAGATTGATGAAAACACGTCGTCGGATATATGGCTGTCGGCAGGGCATCCCCTACAGCTGCGTTCGCGACACACAAGGAGCGCCGCAAAATGAAAACCTCCTTTCAACAGGTAATGCCGCGAAGGCGCGCAACTTAACGCCTCCAGATAAACCGCGAAAGCGGCGGCGGCGAAAGGCGACGACGACGACGACGACGACAACAACAATGACGACGACGACAACGACGACAACAACAATGACGACGACGACGATGACGGCGGCGGTGGCGGCGGCGGCGAGGACGGCGAGGACGGCGGCGGCGGCAACGACGGCGAGGACGGCGACGGCGCCGAACGCGGCGTCGATGACGGCGGCGGCGGTCGTGGCGCCCAGCAAGAAACGCTCGCACAAAAGCCTGGAAATATGCCGGGACAAATGACAAAAAAACAATACTAAAAATGACAGCCGTGAAATTGGTGACTGTTTCAGTGATGGGTAAATTTGAAGTTCGTGGCATTCTTCTGGCGGGCGCCCCCCATGTTTCCATCAACTGTTTCATCCATGTGTCACGACATGCAGCCCCAACAATCAACATGTTTGAATCAATTTGTCTGCGCATGTTTCTGGACATGTTTCCCAGCATCTTTCCCAGGCATTTTCCCAGGCATTTGTCCAGGCACTTTTCTTAGCCATTTGCGTGAGCTGTTTTTCACGTGGGCCGTATCGTCAATCGAATCATCAGTTTATGCATTTTGCGCTTTAACTTGTGTTTGTCATGTTTGGTACTGTGTTTGGCTGTTCTGGCGGCTTTTCGGCGCTCATCCCTGGTCAGTTGGGGCCCGCCCTGTGCGACTCTAGGCTGGCAGACCGCCGAGAACCGAGGAGAACGTCCGAAAATGTTGGGCACCGAACCTCGAGCATGTAGCATGTCTAGGGGAACGAACAATGACATGAAGATACAACATTTGAGGTCCACGCGGGTTTCTTGGATCCGCGCTGGACCCCCCTCCCTGGCGCGCGGAGCGCGCCAGAGGCGGCGCCAGAGGCCCCGCCAGGGGGCCCCAGCGCGAATCCGAGAAATCCGCGCGGACCTCCTAGTTTTCTATGTTCATGTCTTTGCTCGTTCCCCTAGTGTCGTGACCCTCCGCACACCAGTCCGAAAATCAGCCCGCCAGTCGGGCCTGACGCACGGCGTCCACCGCCCAGCGCGGCACCCCCCGCGCGAGTGCGGCGCCCTCCGCGCGCGCGTCGAACAGTGAGAGCGGGGAACCCCAGCACCTCGGGGGGGAGGGGGGGAGCGGCTGACCAGCCCTCTTGACCTTCCCCTCTGCTCCTCTTGCTCCTCCTTCTCCGCAGATGTGCTCCAAACCACCTCTCCTCCCCCTCCTCCTCCTCCTCCTCCTCCTCCTCCTCCTCCTCCTCCTCCTCCTCCTCCTCCTCCTCCTCCTCTCGCTGCCTCTCCCCTCTCCGCTTCATCCTCCTCTTCCCCCCCCCTATTCTCCTCCCCTCGCCTCTCCTCTCCTCTTTCCTCTCGTGCGCATCTTCCTCCTCCTGATCCGCCTCCTCCTCCTCCACCTTTCCTCATCCTCCTCCTGCTCCTGCTCTTCCTCCCGTGCCTCCAGCTCTCCCTGCCTTGTGAGGCAGCTCCACCCCGTCGCGCCCGCAGGCGTGCCGGCGGGTGGGGGCTGGGCGTTTCGCCCAGGACGTATGGATCTGCTGCAGCAGCCTCCGGGATGGGATTGGGCCGTGTTCAAAATCCTGCGGGCCCCAAGGATATATACACCACCACCACCTCCATTGCCCCCCCCCCTCTGCTTTTTCCTCTGCCCTCCTCTCTCCTGGAGGAGGGGGGGGGGCAGGGAGGTAGTGGTGGTGAATCTTGTTGGGCCCCGTTGACCCTCGCCTTCGCACCGTGCACACATTCGCCTCGGAGCCCTCGGAAATCCACACCATGGAGCAACTGATCCTTTTCAAAACGAAGCGCTCTCCTTGGCAACACCAGCACTCGTCCGATGTGTATGCAGCAGCTTCAGGGATGGAGGGGTGCGGGAACTCTGTGGGGGAAAACACGTGGGGAAAAACAAAAGCAAAAAAACACAAAAAGAAATTGCTTTGTTGTTGTTTGTGTTTTTGTGTGCTCTGTTGTGTGTTGTTGTTTCCCACTAGCGCGGCGCACATACATTCTAACATGCTGCCACAGCTGTAAGGACGGAAGGCGGCACCTTCTCAAAGTGTGGCTCCCGCCCACGCGCCGGGCATGTCCGTGTCACAAGGTACCCACAGCTTGAAGGATGTGGGGAAAAACACACAACACACACTCACTCAGACACAACACACACACAACACACACAAAACACACAAGACACACACGTTTGTGTGTGTGTGTGTGTTTGTGTGTGTGCCTTTTTTTTCCCCACAGCCGTTTCCAAAATTGGCCCATCGCCTCAGCGCCACGCACCTTCGTCATGCATGAACAAGCTTCAGAGATTGGCGGGGTGGTTTTCAAGAGGAGGCTCTTGCCCGAGCACCCCGTGCACTTGCTTCAACAACTGGGGACGGTTGTAGGGATGAAGCCCTGGTGTTTTTCAAAAAGGGCCTCTGGCCTTAGCGACGCGCGCTCTCGTCAGAAACACCTGAGACAATTTCAAGGATGGAGCGCCCGTCGTTTTCGACATGGGGTTCTCGACCTAGCGCCGCCATTCTTACTCAAAATGTGGTTCTCGCTAGAGACTGTGTTAACTCTGAACGCATGTAGCACTTCGCGGTACGAAAGTGGCTCCGTTTTTCCGCAATTATATAAGCTGTGCGTGAGGGGCTCTCTCTTGTTTCGGAAGAACTGCCATCGTGTTCGGTTCCCAGGTCAGGACCCTCGGTCGTGGTGTTCATTGGGTTCCCCAATCCATTTCGGCTCCCTGGTCCTGTTCTTGCCTTGGATTCTCGGGATCCCTGGAGTCATGTTTCTTGGGTTCCCAGGTTTTGTTCCTTGGGTTACCTTGCCGTTGTAATTCCATGGAATGCCGACGGAACCAACGAAATGCCAAGCAATGCCAAACAATGCTAAAAAACACTCAATGCCACGCGCCGCCAAGCAATGTCAAGTAATCAGAGCAATGCCAAGCAACGCAAAGCAGCGCCAAGCAACGCCAAGCCATGACAAGCAATTCCAAGCAATGCCAAGCAACCCCAAGCAACGCAAAGCAATGTCAAGCCAATGCCAAGCAACGCCAAGCAATGCCAAGCAATGCCAAGCAGTGCCAAGCAATGCCAAGCGATGCCAAACAACGGCTCAAAGCAATGCCTTGCAACGCCAAGGAGCGCCAAGCAATGCAACGCAATGCCAAACAACCCTTAATGTGGGTCGCGCCTGCTTCATCAACATGAAGCTCTCACTGAGACTGTCCCGAAGTCCATGACCACACGTATGAGCTCGTGCAACAGGTACACTGGTGGGAGGGGCGGTCCTTGAACAAAAAAATGGCACTTCGTTGAATTGTTTGCTCAGAATTGTCAGGTCCCAGAGTGAGTACCAGAAGAATGCAAGACAGCTGCTTTTCAAAACAGGGCCCTCGCAAAAAAGGGAGAGCCGCACTGTGCTGGTCCTGGTCTCTCTGGGGGGGCGCTGCTTGTAGTCGGAAGGCGACCTTGCAGGGCAGAGTGAGGAAGGGAGCTCAGACGGGGGGGGGAATTGCAGCGTCGCTGGTTCATTTTGGGTCTGCTCTCCTCCTCCACGTCCTCCTCCTCCTCCTCCCCCTCCTCCCCCTCCTCCTCCTCCTCCTCCCTTCTCTTCCTCCTCCTCCTCCTCCCTCCTCCTCCTCCTCCTCCTCCTCCTCCTCCGCCTCCTCCTCCTCCTCACCGCACTCCCCCTCCCCACGGGCTCGAGGACGGAGCAGAAGAGAGCGCACTCATCCTCCCGCCCCTCGCCGCTCAATTCCCTCCTCCAGGCGGAGCATGCGGGGCGGAAGCGCATCGAGGGAACGCAGCCTCTGGCGGTCCGCCTGGCAACTCTTTGGCTCGTGCCGGCCGGCGGCGGACTGGAGCACGCTCGCGCCGCGGTCCAGGCGGCAACGGCGCTGCTGACGCGCGAGTCTTAGAAACAACCGACCAGCCACAACTGGGGGAGCTGTGGTCCTTACAGGGCAATTTTTAATTCATGGGATCGTTTATATAAGATGTTTAATGCATGATTAATGCATGGATAAATTTATGCATGAACTCATCGTTGTGTTTAGTACTAAATCCCTGCATCTTTAATACATGATCCGCACGCGGAGCCTGCATCAAAAACGGCACTGTACCCGCCTGGGGGAACCCATCGCAGTGACGATCTCTCGAGAGGGGCGTCGAGTTCGACGGGTCCCCCATGGGGGGCAAGGACCACAGCTCCCCCAGCTGTGGCTGGCCTGCACAAGGAGACGGGCGGAGGGACCACGCGAGGCGGCCGCGGAGGGGGCACCCGCCCCGAGATCAGGGGGACGTAAGACCTGGGTACAAGGGACTCGGAAATCCCCGACGAGGTCGTCAAAAAAATGACGAGGCCGAGCCTGCATTTTGACGAGGCCTCCCGCTGCAGACATCCCACGAAACTCCTCCTCGTCAAAATCCGAGGCGCGGTCGTCAAAAAACGATGGCGAACCCGAGTCATGGCAAACCCGGGTCTTACGCTACCCCGACAAGACAAAGGGGCCGATCACAGTCGGACCTGGGCCAGGAGAAAAAAAAACATGCTTCAAGAACACGAGGCCCTCCGCTGGCCAAGGCAAGCAGAACATCCAAGGGTGCCCTCCCCAGCATGCACAAGAACGGCGAATCAGCACGAAGAACATCAGGGCACCCTCCCCGAATCGACCTCGATCTTATAATTACCTCGGTCCGACTGTGAGATGGCGCCGCGGCTTTGCTCTTGAAGGAGCGGCGGGAGGCCGGAGCAGTCTGCACACATCGGCGGGGGGAGCGCGGAGGGGGGAGAGCTCGAAGGACGGTCGAAAAAGGGCGAAGTGGAGGCAGAAGGGAGGCACGGATTATTGTTGGTACAGTGCTGTGTCCGCGCCGCTCTCCACACCCGTCCACGACGACTCCGCCCAGCAGATGCTGCCCACATCGAGCGTGCCACCTCCTCCAGGAAGAAACAAATACACCAAAAAGAAAAAAAACAATCAATGGATGGTTTTCGCTGAGGAGATCGACCGAGAACCCGGGAGCCCAGAAACCCCAAACCCACCGAAATCGGCCCGGAACCAACAACCGGGAACCCGGGAACCCGGGAACCCGGAACCGGGAACCCCGGATCCCAGCCTGCTACCAAAATCGGCGCGAAACTTTCGCCAAATGGTTCAACTTCCGCTAGGACCCCAAGCACTGATTGGGGAATGAACAAGTGCAGCAGGCCGGGGGAGAGTCACGAGAGGGAGCCGAGCCGCCTCCTCCTCCTCCTCCTCCTACTCCTCCTCTTCGTCCTCCTCCTCATCGCTCCTCATCCTCGCTCCTCCTCCTCGCTCCCTCCTCCTCCTCCTCATCATCATCATCATCCTCCTTTTCGTCCTCCTCCTCCTCATTCTCGTCCTCCTCCTTTCCCCGTCCAACTGGTGGTGGTGGTGGAAAACAGGCCCATCAAAGCTGGGGCGAGAGCAAGAGATCCACCGCCACCGAGCCAGGAACCCCGACCACCTCGAAATGTGCGTCGGACCGGGATGAGCATCGGCACGTAACTAATTAAGACGAAGCCGAGGCAAAAACAAGATCGAACGGGTGGCGGCGCCGCCGCGTTTCCAGAGCTCCCCAAAACGAGCGGAGAGCGTGCAGGAGCGCTCTGGGGCGATTGATCCTGGCCCAAGCCCCGCCCGAGGAGTCAAAACCGAACCAAATCAGTCGCGCCAGGATGCGCAACGCCACGCACGCAACGGGCCGTGTCCAATCGTCTGAATGCTGGGGCTAAGTCGGATCGGGCCGTCCGACATCGATAATTGACCAGATCGATCTCAGTGGGCGCCGAATGGCTCTCACACCTCGGGCCTCCAGCGACGCTCGGGAGGGCGATGCGGGTACCCCTGGCACGACCCGTGCAAGGCGCAGCTGCTGCAGAGCAGCCCCAGGCTGGACAACCGCCGAGGGCCGACGAGAGCGTCCGAACACCTCGAACCCTGAATCGGACCCCTCAGAGACCCCCGTCGTCGCGATTTTGTTCGCAAGGTCGATCCCCAGAAGATTCGACCTCTTCCTCGGGACGGGCTTTTCAACCGGAGTAGCTTTTGTTGACGGCGCCAGGGCCCGGAGAGGAATCCCACTGGCCAGGAATAGCAAAGAACCTCCCACCATGATTTTCTCACGACGCGAGGGGGTCTCGATTCTCGGACCCCGCGACGCAACGTGATTCGAGGCACCGAAACTGTGTGGCGGCGGACCGCATGGTGACCTCGGAATCCCCACCGACCTCACCGCGCGATCCGTCACCGCACGGTCTTTGGACCCCAAAGGCTCTCAATCGCCCGAAAAGTCCTCGGATAACGATTCTACTCCCGAAACCGTGCTGTGATCCCGTATCCCCGCCGACGCACCGCGCAGTGTGGTCTTTGTGGGTGTCTGATCCTCGCCTGTCACGCGTAGTTGGAGCGGCCTCTGAAATAGGAGGAGGAGGAGGAGGAGGAGGAGGAGGAGGAGGAGGAGGAGGAGGAGGAGGAGGAGGAGGGAGGAGGGAGGAGGGAGGAGGAGGAGGGGAAGGGTGAGGAGCGACGCTGGCCGACAAGGGAAAACAAGGAGCGCGGCAAGGGAAGCCAAGCGACCGTCCCGCCCGCCCCGCGCCGCGCCTGCCCGAGGCGGCAAGACAGCCAAGGCGCGGAAGGGCAAATCCGCCCCCCGAGGAGGGGTGTCCAATGGATGCGCCAACGAGCACAACAGACCCGCACGAGCGGCACTCCTGCGCGAACGCTGAGCGCGGCGCGGCAGAGCAGCGCGAGGAGGAGCCCGAGAGGGGAGAGCAGGCGAAATCAGGGGGGGGCGCGGCAGAGCGTATCCAGAAACAGATCACTCGTTCTATGTCTTGTCCCTCTTCTCCTTCTTGTTTTTCCCCTCCGCAGGCGTGTGAGGGCGCTCCCTGCCCGCCAGGCTGGCAAAGTGGCTGGATGAGGTAGAGCGCTGGCCCTCCAGCTTGGCGAACGTCGCGCTCAGGGCGGCGCTGACCTCCTGGAGCGGCGCGACCGTGGCGCAGGCCTCAGTGGCAGCAACGAGGCGCCCGTTCAGCTCGCGCAGGGCGGGGGCCATGGTGGACACCTGCTCGAGGAAAACGTGCCGTTGATCATCGCCGAAAATGCCACCACGATCATGTAGGTTCTCGTGGTCAAACGCATCACCGAATACACCATCACAAAACGTATCCCTATCCTGGACATGCTCCGGGAAGTATGGCGTCTCATGCTCCTCCACTTCGATATTGTCTAGCATGTGGCGCTCGGCATCGGCTGCCACGAAAGGGTGCACCATGAAAGGCGTCGGGGTCCCGATCGAAACGCCAGCCTCCTTGCCGTGACTGCTGCTGGGGTCCACGTTCGAGAAGAAAAGCACCTCGGATCCAGAGCCTGATTCTGAAGCTGCAGCTGGCACGATCGGGAAGGGCGGCACGGTGGGCCGCTTCTGGCCCAAGGACTCCGCAGCATCGCTGCCAGATCGTCGCTGTCGCGAAATCGCCGTCAACGTGGCCGTTGGCAGTCACCGCCGAGACAATCTCCTCAGGAGCATCCTTCCCGCCGCCATTGTGTTCGAGGGCGAACTGAATGTCCTGCAACAGCGCCTTGCAGCTGGGACTGGCGAGGCGACGCAGGACGTTCAATGCCATGTCCACCCCGCAACGGTTCCTGCACATCTGAAGCGAAAACATGCGCACTTGAAGGTGCTGTCGAGCAGCTTGCTCGAGCCCGGTGAAGTGGCAATCGGCGTGCGCTGCCAGCAACCGGAGGCAATCGCCATGAAGCTGGCGCAGCAAGCCTGGGCCATCGCGGCACACGGGGAAAGTGGGCATGAGAGCGATATGTGCACACGCGCAGAGCTTTACAACTCGTGCCGAACCCTTGGGCCTCAGAAAAAGTGGAGGGAGGGAGGAGGAGGAGGAAGAGGAGGAGGAGGAGAATAAGAAGGAGGAGGGCGCCGCCTCAGCAGAGCTGCCACGACTACGGGGATGCGAGCGAAGCGCCGTAGTGCTCAGCTGGGGACGCCCAGGGCTCCGTCTTCAAGCGCAAGCCACCGCTCAGCATAGAGAAAACAACCACAAGTGTGATGTCTTGCGCCATGCGCTTTTGATTGGAGATGCGCATGGACGTCGTCAGCCCACCTTTTGGGCGGACGGTTCGGCGGCCTGCCTTTATCTCGCCTGCCTTGTTGGCATCCAACAGAGCAGCTCGCAGCAACCATTTTCCAAAAAAGAACCGCCGTAACCCGGGAAACGAATCTACGCAACAGGCGTCGTCGCAGTAAGAGCCACCCTTTTTTTATGTTGTTGGGATGCGCGCGTGGCTCGATACCTCTTGTCATTCCGATGAGCTACCCACCCCAGCATTGCAACAACCACTTGCCTTTGAACGCGCTTGGTGCCAGGGGCCGTCGGAAATGAGCTCGCCGACTCGAGGTCCGCTGCGCTTCGACCGCCTCTGCAATGACCCCAGATCATGCGTGGAATCTCGCGCCAGATTCTTAACAGCGCGCGTCGCGATCCCGCCGTCGATGTCCAGAAAGAGGCGCCGTGCATCACCGCAAGGGTGCCGATGCTGTCAAACAAACACGTAGGCGGCTTGTATTCCGACGCGCGCGCCGCCAATGCCTTCCAGGATTGACGAATCCGGTGCTCGATCTCGTCCTGCGCGCAGGCCCCACCCCCCAGCAACTCGCCCAAATATTTCACTCCCTCGACCTCAGAACTTCGATGTGCATGCCGTTCATGTCAGCACACGAAACTATCCCACGCCATGACTTCTTCATCGCATTGGTGGAAGCCTCCGTTGTGTCCGGATGTAGACGAAGGCCAATTTCACAAGCTTGTGCCAACATCTGTTCGATATGATGTAACACGTTAATGGAAAGACGACCGTCGCAGGCGAAACGTAACTTACTCGTTCGCCACTCACGTGTGCAATACAATGGAATGCCGCGTCGTGTGGTTTGCCAACCACCTATACACATCTCACGATATCCTTCAGCAGCGCACTGTATATAACAAACTCAACGGGTCTTCTTGTTTCGTCCCGCGTGGCCGTGTGCCTGCGCTTTTTGTCTGTCACGTAACCACTGTAATAATCTGGTGTAACGCACTGGCACGCTTTGCTTGCACAGTGCGTTCCAGAAACCATGTTGCACGGAGTCGAACACTTTCTGGGCGTCCAACACTGCGTGCCATGAGAGGAACTGAAATTCGTCAACTTTCCCCTGGAGCACCATCATCATCGAGAACAAGTGGTCTTCAGTCGGATAATGTTTCCCGATCCTAGCTTGATCAAAATCTACAAAATCAACAAGAAACGGCAAGGCGAACAATTTATATCACAGGGGAATAACAGCAACTAAACAGTGGTGGGCACTGCTTCGGCAGTCTCTCGTCTCCAACTTCGTGCATGCCAATGATCGCGGGATGCCTCCGCGTCTCTGGCATCTCTGAAGACCCAGTCAGGGCGACGCCGTAAAGAGCGTCCAAAATATCTACGTGTATGTCCCCACTCTCCATGGCAATCTGGGAAACCAATCCCCCCTTGTCTGCGCGCGTGTCCCGTTTGAGCTTCCGGATCGACATGTTGACCTCATCTGTCGCGATTCTCGGTCGAGCCAAGGGGCGAAGAGTGAACCTCCCAGTTCTGGTAACATCGGCACTGGAACCTTCGACGAACGCAAATCCGCATGACAAGCGGCAAACACGTCGACCATATCCCTCCGACTGGAAACATCCTGAGCTTCGCCGCTACACGTGTCATCCAAGACTTTCTCACGAGGGCCCTATGTCCTAGATCGAAAACAGATTGCCCATATCCGCGAAATCGTCCTACACCTTATGAGTTCGCACAGTCACTTCGGACTTGCGGAGTCGTTTGGTGTATCTTTGGATACGCTTGCTGAACGAATACCGCCGCGCAGGATCGGACACATATTTCCTAGCAGCGATATGTTCCTGGATTCGACCTCCGAGCTCGCTGAAACTGTCACCCTCAATTCCTTATTCGGGTGCGTTGTCGCTCGCAGACGTTAGCTAGGCGTCTTGAACAAGATCTGCTTGATACTTGCCGCTTGTGTGAAGCTCCTGGTCGTTAATTTTCGATGACAGTTTTCCTGGAATTTCTGCAATCCACCGTGCTCCATGGTGACATGCATTTCTTGGATTGTTGTCATATAGGCTGCTCCGTGATCATCTGGCGTTACATGAAGACTGCGCGGCGGTCAGAACGGGTTCCGAAGGCTCCCAACGAATCACACATTCGACCAACTTTCTACAGCTTTTGGTATTCTGTGATCTAGTCGGTTTGTTGGGGTCTCCTACTTGTTCTAATCAATGTAACTGTTTTCGGCTCAGGAACAACAGATGTGGGCAAATAGCCGGTCTTCCAAACCAGGCTTCTGCTCCAACCGCTGCCCACGCGATGTCTCCACGTTAATTAAGACAAGAACGGCCGATGACATGTTGATGAAACGCTCTTCCAGGCAAGCCTCATTTGGAGGACCTCTGACGTTGCTTAAACAAACATTGGACCGAAAATGAATTCCCTATACGATCTAGTGCATGTGTGGTAATTACGTGTTCTGCGGCCTGTCCTCCAGAATGCTTGGCCGGAACTGGACCGTCACCAACATCAGTTCCAAGTGTGCAGAATGGCACATATGCAGACGCATTGTGGTACTTTCCTCTTCCTCCTCCTCTTCCTGCTCCTTCCGCAGTTGCCGTCGTGGAAGATCTACTTTGACAAGTACATGCTGGTACTGATACTCCGTGACCTGGTCCGCTGGCATAGTTGCAGATCCTCATATGCGGTGCCAGCTCGCTTGTTCTTCCAGGCCGTATTTCAGGATGGGACTGCTTCTGTTAACGTTTTTTGTTGTTGTTGTTTTTTCTCTCCTTCTTCATCCTTCGTACTGCAACCTTTCCCCCTCCTTCTCCTCCCAAGCAACGCTCTTGCCTTTCAACTCCACCACGCTATCCCTCCACTTGGATATGATACCTTTCAGCTTGTAGCTGCGGCACTCGTTGCGCAATTAATACTAGCTGTCCCCATATGTTGGTCGATGGTGCGCTTCGCACAAGTATCATTGCTCTTGAAACGCATGCCCGAACCATTATCCCATTTAAGGTGTGTGTGTGTGTTGGAAGCCTTCAGCATTCGTTGCGATTACCTTGAACTGTACCACGCCCAACATGGAAGGACCCATGTAGGTGACACGTCGGTGTCCTTGCGTCCCGCTCACCAATCAAGCACGCACACGCTTCTTCACTTGCTGGATTATAACAGCCTTTCACCGAACACCCTGCAAACCATAGGGCGACGCAATCTATACATATCCACAGCTCCTGGGTTCAGGATGGGCCTGGTCAGGGAGCAGTGGATATGTATAGACTTCGTCCCCCGAAAACCAGCAGCCATGACGTGCAACTCCCGGATGCCTTTCTCGATCGCCTGCTGATTGCTGGGGGCCCCGGATGTCGCCGGAACGCTGCTGCCTGGCCTCAAGAACAGGAGCGGGGGCAGGAGCGAGGACGGGTGGGCCGGAGAGGAAGAAGGAGAGAGCGAGGACAGGAGGAAGCAACGAGAGCGGAGGGTCACAAGAAGAGGGGAGGAGGATTGAGGCCGACGGAGAATTCACTAGCAAAAGGGGGAGTAGACCACCCGAGATGCCCCCAGAGACGAGACGCACAAAGCCGTGCGGCGACCACGAATCCCGCCGAGTCACCGCGCGGAGTGGTCACCACACCGGTTTGGGAGGCTCCCCGACGTGAGCCCTGCTCGGGTGTTACTAGAAGTGCCCCTGGCCCAAGTGCCCCCAGGATTTCCAGGGAGGCCCCCACGGCCTCCAGAGAAGCCCTCACGAGGCCCAGGGAGCCCCAGGGGCTCCAAAATGGAGCGAAAAGCTGGGGGCACCTTGGGCCAGGTGCACCTTTAGCATCCCCCGAAACACAGGTCCCGAGGATTATCGTAACTCACAGCTCTTTCCGTACCCTCTCCCATCGCACCGAACCTCGATCCTCGAACCCCGATCCCCGATCCTCGAACCTCGCTTCTCGAACCCCGGTACCAAAACCTCGATCCTCGAACCTCGACGCCTGGACTTCTCCCGGGGTGCGCTCTGGCCAGAATCTCGAGGCGCATCCAGCGGTGTCGACGAGAGCCACCCGGGAGGCCGACAAAAGGGGGAACCGAAGGAAGGGTAGAAGTATGGTTTGGTCGGGCATGTCCCCCTACAGGCGGATTTCGGAAGAAGAGTTACAGATAGTCAAACGACATCCCCAAATAGTCCACCATGGTGGACAAAATCGAGCCCAGACCATTTTGTGCTATTTCTGAACATTCCTCCTGTAGGGGGACACGCCCGACTTCCAGGTATGGGTGCCTTTTCCTCCTCGCGAGCCCCCCCCTCCCCGGGGGCGCCGCGTCACGTCGCGGTGGGCGGCCTCCAGCGGGGCGCGGGCGCGAGCCAGGGCGCCGCGCAGGGCGGCGGGGCAGAGCGGGGGGGACACGCCCGCCACGAAGCTGCGCACCTGCTCCTGGGGGGGGAGGGGGGGGGCGGCGGCCGCGGGCAGCGCGGGGAGGAACTTCCTCGGACCAGCGACGATCAAAAACGAGGGGGGGAGGTGGATGAGGAGGAGGAGGAGGAGAAGGAGGAGGAGGAGGAGGAGGAGGAGGAGGAGGAGCAGGAGGAGGAGGAGGAGGAGGAGGAGGAGGAGGAGGAGGAGCAGGAGGAGGAGGAGGAGGAGGAGGAGGAGGAGGAGCAGGAGGAGGAGGGGCCTCACGCGAGATGGCGTGGCGACCCTGCGCGGCGGCGGCGCACGCGGGCCGCCGGCGCGGCACGCCTGCGCTGAGGGCAGGGGGCGCCGACGGCCGACTCTGGCGCGGGCAGCCTGCGCGGGCGCGTCCGCCCTCGGCACGACGGCGCTCCCCGCTGGGGGCGGGGGGAGCACCAGGCCGAGTCGCCCCCGGGGGAGCCCGAGGGCCGGGCACGGGCTCGTCTGTGACTACCTACCAGACCCTTGGAGGCAAGACCCTTGGAGGCCGAAGTTGGGAGAGTTTTGGGCGGCGGGCGACCCATGAAAACGGCAAAGGACGGGCCGCAGAGGCAAGAACACAAGGGTCCCCCAGATGAAGGCGCGCGTCCTGACTAGGCGCGTTGGCTGTACGCACACTGACTACCTACCAGACCACCCCAACCCAACCCGAAGACCCGAATTTCGGGTTGGGGGGGGTAAGGGTTCCCAGCACGTGTTTTGTCGGTGTTTCCCGACCCCCCCCCCACTGGAAGCCGAGGGTAAGTCTGAGCCTTCGGGTTGGGTTTGAGGTGGTTTGGTGGGTGCTGAGTCTGGGAGCGGGGCCCGAGCGGATGGGGAGGGCGAGAGAGGCCAGGCGCGTCGGGCCCCTCGGGGGGGGCTCCCCGCGCCAACGCCCACCAGCCCTCTGGGGCGTGAGCAGGCTGCGTGCCTCAATCGAGCTGCCAAACTGAAACGCCTTCGATCTCTGCGCACGACCCAAGGCACCTCCAAGACAGCCCACGGAAGCACCGACTCGCTGTGAAAATACTCGCAGAAACTCACCCCGACGCTCCACAACACCACTGCCCCAAAGCTCGCCCCAGCACGGCCTCGGAGGCCCCGAAGGGGCCGGGAGGGCCTTAGGCGACCCCCGAGATGGCCCTAGAGGCTTCACGACCCAATGGTGGGATCGCAAACGTGGCGGTCTTGATCAAGAATGTTGTGCAGCCCAATCGAATGTGGATAAACCGTAGCACACATGTCGACATCCTTGCCCTTCTGATCACCCCGTTGAAACTAGTGGCCAGCATCATAACGACGCTCCACATGCAAACTACATCCACAAACAGCTCCACAGTACAAGCCGCGGCCCAATTCTTAGCACTCACCTCTGCACTCCTGCTCTGACCTATGCTGGAAATACGGGGGTCAGCGAATAAAGCATACGCCATGCAACTGCGTATAGCTTCCGACCAGCGGGAAGTCGATGCCCTTGATACACCAACGCGTCAGAAGCCCAAAAGCACGAGCGGTAAAATAGCCAATGAGAACTGCACTTGCTGGATTTAGACCCATGGCCGTGGGTGATAGACTAACCAGAACACTATTGAATGCAAACGTCGCTACAAGGCATAAGTTGAACGCCACGCGAAGGAATCTCAATACACATCTCATTGCTGAAACGTGTCCGCGTATGACATCCCATGGCAGGCATCCCAACATAACAAAAAGGATTGCCATTGTAAACGCAGGGTCCACAAACTTGGGAATACAGCTTATCGGTGTGGCGATCACTGCAAGGCCAAAGCTAACTATTCCAACTTGACGAGCGGCGCTGCATGCTTGTGAACACATGTAAATCATCAGCGTGGTAATCGAAGCAAATGCCAAAATCTTGGGGTACACCTACACTCGCACTGTACTATGAGATCTTGCCCAAATCTGGTGCCACCGAATTTCAAACATGTGGCAAATTCCCTTTGTTTTTGGACCCTGACCCCGCCGAGCTACGTGAGGGGTGCCAGCAAATTTCAGAAATGTGGCAAATCTCGTGTGGTTTTGGACCCTGACCCCGCCGATCTGCGGAGGAGCTTAAATTTATACCCACCCCAGCAATTCAGACAACACGCTCAGGGCATAGTAAAAATTGCCGTTTTGACCCCCCCCCCGCAGATCGGCGGGGCCAGGGTGCAAAAACACATGAGATTTGCCACATTTCTAAAAAATCCGGTGGCACCCCTCACGCAGATCGGCGGGGTCAGGGTCCAAAAACACAAGGATTTGCCACATTTCTAAAAACCGGTGGCACCCCTCACGCAGATCGGCAGGGTCAGGGTCAAAAAAACAAAAAGGATTTGCCACATTTCTAAAAACCGGTGGCACCCCTCACGCAGATCGGCAGGGTCAGGGTCCAAAAACACAAGGGATTTGCTACATTTCTAAAAACCGGTGGCACCCCTCACGCAGATCGGAAGGGTCAGACAGCGGATTTGATACATTTCTAAAAAATCCGGCGGCACCCCTCATGCAGATCGGCGGGGTCAGGGTCCAAAAAGCAAAAAGGATTTGCCACATTTCTAAAAACCAGTGGCACCCCTCACGCAGATCGGCAGGGTCAGGGTCCAAAAAACACATGGGATTTGCCACATTTCTAAAATTCGGCGGCACCCCTCACGCAGATCGGCGGGGTCAGGGTCCAAAAACACAAAGGATTTGCCACATTTCTGAAATTCAGTGGCACCCGTGACGCAGATCCGTAGGGTCAGGGTCGAAAAACAAACAGGTCCCGACACTGCTTCACGGCGGCGCCCAGACCTCATGATGTAGCTTTTGAATCTCCCATTATCCGAGACAGGGGGCCGGCGGCATGGGGCGAAGCCCTTACGGATAAACCGACTATCATTGCAATGAAAACAAAAGAGAGCGCTGATAACACTACAGCAACTCCAAAAGCTGTAACGAGTCACGTGCTCCATTGGAAAAGGCCGAACTCCAAAGGGAGACAACTATGGGAGCAGTTCGGTTGTCTCCATCCGCGAAAATGTCGTCGAAGCCCAAATCGAAAGAACGACGCCTCAAACTAGCATGATAGGGGATCACCAGACAGCTGCCCAGAGTCAATCGCGCCAGTTCCTCGGCATGCGCATCGACATTGGTGGCAGGATGGATTTTCGTCATGTGGTTTCAAACTGATCTGACAGTGTCGGGGTCGCAGACGCTGAGCTGTGCAAAACGCGAGCAGTCAGAATCGTCAAGAGCAAATAGCTTTGATCGAACCTTGCTGCGGATGAGTTTCTTAGGGCCATGTTGGGATCCCTTGGGCCTCGCGTGGCCACTCCCACGGAGCTGGAGATTCTGGGGGGCCGTTGCGGGGTGGCCTTGTGCACACTGAAATCGTCTTGGGGCCATCTTGAAGGTTTCATGGGTGCAAACAGGGTCTGTGAGCTGAGGCCAAATGTAAGGGCGTAATGTAAGGGCGAGGGACATTGGAAAGGAATAATCCATATTAATGAACAGCCCATATGCCGGCATTGGAAAGGAATAATCCATCACCATCATTTTTATTAAAATTAGAAAAAAGAAAAAAGCAAACTTGAAAATTTCTTCAGGAAATGTTTGCTTTTCTTTTCTAATTTTATTTTTAAAAATGATGGATCATCAATCTTCATTTTACAAATTTTCTTTAGTTTAATGAAGTGCTCGATGAGCGAGGCCAAATGTAAGGGCGAGGGACCATACTGAGAACGTCTTGGGGCCGCTTTGGCGCTGTCTTGGGGCCTCTTGGGGCGATCTCCGGTGCCTGTTCGGCGGTGGGCTCCCCAGGACCCTGGCTGAGGCCTCCTGGCGTCCATCGGGGCCTCGCGGGACCAGCTCGGCGGGTTCGAGATCCATCTGGCCGGATGTTGGGGCCAGACTTATGTCGGGCCTGTCCCCCCTACAGGGGGATTTTCGACGAAAATTGAAAATACCCCCAAAAAATCAAAACATAATCAACAAATAGTCCAGGGATTATGTTTTGAGTATTTTTGGACCTTTTGGGGGTATTTGGAGGGTATTTTTTTTATTTTTCGTCGGAAATCCCCCTGTAGGGGGACACGCCCGACATAATGCCAGACTGGGCCGCTCTTGAGATGTCTGTTGCAGCCGCCTGGAGCCGCAGGCTGCCTTCCAAGCCTGGGAAAGGTGGGCCGCGCGGGGCCTGCTTCTCCCCCCCCCCCCGCGCGCGAGCCCTTGCGCGCGACACCAAGTGACGGGAAGGGGTCGGCGGATGTGGCGTCAGCCTGTAGATCGAGGAGGGACCAATCGGGGATCTCTGATGCCCGTCGGCTCTGAGATCCGACGCGGCCTTCTCAGAACGTCCCAGAAAGCTTTGAGAGCGTTCCGGAGGGCCCTGGAGCGGCTTCTCCCTGTCCGACGACGACGGCGACGCCGACGCCGACGCCGACGACGACGACGACGCCGACGCCGACGCCGACGACGACGACGCCGCGGCCCCCGAAGGCTCCCGCACGTCCGGCTCTGCCTCGGCCGCGGGGCCCCCGCCGCACCCCGCGGGGGCGGCCGCGGCCGCGGGGCCGCCGGGCGCCGCCATGGCCCCCGCCGCGTCGGCGCGCGGCCGCGGGCGCCGCGCGCCGCAGGGCGCCCCGCGGGCGCGCGCGGGCGCGCCCTTAGAGCGACGAGATCCGCAGAGGGGTCCCGCGCGAGGGGGCGCGGAGACCCTCCGGCGCGGCTCGCGCGGGGCCGCGCGCGCGGCACGCCACATGGTGGAGGCGAAGGCGCCCGCGCGCGACCTGGCGCGGGCTGCTGGCGCGCCAGTACCGGCGCCGAGGGCCCCGTTTTTCCGAGCACTCTTTGGGGGGTGGAGGGCGCAGGGTGAAGTCCATGTGGGCTCTTGCACCTCGAAGCCCAGCCCGTCTTGTGATCCACCCTTTTTTGCAGATGCGAGCCTCGAAGATCCATCGAAAGGGCACTTCGGATTTCACCCGTTGCCCTCCACCCACAGAAAATGCTCGGACTAAGGA